GTACAGGGGATTGAACCCAGGTGCTTAACCACTGAGCCATATCCCCAGCCCTTTTTGGGAACAGGGTGTTGCTGAGTTGCTAAGTACCTTGCTAATCTGCTGAGACTGGTTTTGAACTCATAATCCTTCTGCCTTAGCCTCCTGAGTTGCTGGGATAACAGGCGTGTACCACCACGCCTGGCTGTTTTAGTGTCTTATACTAAATCTTTCACATAATATGTGACTTATACCAAATAGTTCTCTTCACACAAAAACAGAAAACATTGCAATATCCCTTTCTTTCTATATGTAAATTTAATTAATTTCTTGGCAAATATTTTTATTTGTATTGACACACTACCAGAACCTAACAATTACATAACTGTACCATTTTTCTTTAGAGTATTTTGTATTATGCATACACAAAAGTGCATCAAAAATTGGCTATCTGAAAATAGAAGAGTATTAATATTTGCTATCCAAAAAGTACAAATTTAAAACAGATGAAAAATCAGAATAATCACAACACTAAATAGCTAGATCTTAAACACATGTTAGCACCAAGAAAACACAGGGAACAAGCTACGTCCACATGACACAGTCCAAAGACCTGGGTGCATCATGGTCTCATAGGTAATATATGTAAGTGCTTCTAGAAACATGGAGAAGCCATTTTAACACTTTTTAACATACAGTGGCTCTCTTACAATACTGCCATCTAATATAGATGCACAGAGACTTTTTATTCATCCTAGATGTATATTTTAATTGTTTACAAATAGATAATTTGCCAAATAATAATAATTATTATTATTAGTTTTTGGTGTGGTACTGGGAATTGAACCCAGAGGTGTTCTACCACTGAGGTACAGCACCAGTCCTTATTTATTTTGAGATAGGGTCTTGCTAAATTGGTGATGCTGGCCTGGAATTGGGAAGCATCCTGCCTCAGCCTCCTTAGTCCCTGGGATTACAGATGAGTATCAACACAACTAGCTCCGAATTCCATCTTATTAGGTGAAAACTTTGTAATGGTGCGATCAACATTTCACTAAAATCAAATATCTTTTCCCTTTAATTAAAAATACCATAATACCTTTTCTTTTTGCAGTGCTGGGGTTCAAACAAAGGCCCTCAAAGTCTATACCACTGACCTACATCTTTAGCATCTATACCTTCTCTTGGTAGTATTTTACTTCTGACCTTAAAAAAACACAGGGAATGGGCTGGGGATGTGGCTCAAGTGGTAGCGCGCTCGCCTAGCATGCGTACGGCCCGGGTTCGATCCTCAGCACCACATACCAACAAAGATGTTGTGTCCGCCGAGAACTGAAAAATAAATATTAAAAATTCTCTCTTTTTCTCTCTCAAAAAAAAAAAACACAGGGAAAGTGGCTACAGTAATGCACTCCTATAATCCCAGGGGCCCAGGAAGCTAAGGCAGGAGGATTCCAACTTCAAGGCCAGCCTTAGCAACTTAGCAAGGCCCTACACAACTTAGTGAGACCCTGTCTCAAAATAAAAAATAAAAAAGGGCTGGAGACTTAGTACCACTGGGTTGAATTCCTAGTACACAAAACCAAAACCAAAACTGAAACCAAACAAACAAAGACTGGGCATGGTGGCACAAGCCAGTAATCCTAGGGACTCACGAAGCTTAAGCAGAAGTATCTCAAAAGTTTGAGGCCAGCCTTGGCAATTTAGTGAGACCCTGTCTCAAAATAAAAAATAAAAAGGGGTGGTAATGTGGATCAGTGGGAGAGCACTTGACTACTATTTATGTGCAAGGCCCTAAGTTAGATCCCTAGCACCACACACACACACACAAAAGAGGGACTGGGATTGTGGCTCAGTGCTAGAGCTCTTGTCTAGCATGTGTGAGGCCCTGGGTTCCATCCTCAGCACCACATAAAAAATAAACAAAATAAAGGTATTGTGTCCAACTACTTCTAAATAAATAAATAAATAAATAAATAAATAAATAAGGGGGGCATGTGGGGATACAGTTATGTTTGAATGATGAAGACATTAAGTTTGACTAAACCCTTTATTTCTGTGTTTAAATGTAAGGATAGGATAGGAAAACTTATAAATGACAAAATAGGAAGAAACATCTCGAGTTACATGTTCCATCTGAGAAGGACACATTTTTAAAGTTGTGTAACTGAAAACATTTCTGAACAAGGCCATTTCAAAACACTACATTACAGTCATGTGCAATGATGAATGCACTCTGCACCTAAAAATAACTAAAAAATTTTGGGGATAGTCGCTATACCCCCCATCACTACTGATTCAGAGAAAAAGTGATTAGTGATTTTAAATTACTTGAGACAGCTAAATTTATTTTATTTTATTTTAAAGAGAGAGAGAGAGAGAGAGAGAGAGAATTTTAATATTTATTTTTCAGTTCTCAGCGGATACAACATCTTTGTTTGTATGTGGTGCTTAGGATCCAACCCCGGCCGCATGCATGCCAGGCAAGCGTGCTACCGCTTGAGCCACATCCCCAGCCCGAGACAGCTAAATTTAAAAGAAACAGACAAGACTCTTTTTAATGTCAATATATATGGTATGCAATAAAATATGGTTTTAATATTTTCCACATTTCCCACTATTTTTCAACTAGAGACTTTCATTGGAGACAAGGGTGAAATCCAGCACATGTAATAATAACTACATTAAAATATATGAATTAAACTCCAAAACAATGTTTTTTCTTTTTAAACAATGTTTTATTTTTATCCAAATCTATTTAAACTTTGTATAAATTTTAATGTTGCAAGAGAATCCAATCTGTTTATGAATTTAGTTGTACAATCAAGTTCTACCTAATGTAATGCTAAGCAAATGAGATTGATAAAAATTTTCTAAAGTATACACCAAAAATACTATCATAGGAACCTAAGAACATCTAATACTTCAAATCATAGCTCTTGTTGTCTTTATGTTATACCAATTTGTATCAGAGTTTAATAAAAGAAATGGCAACAGTTTCCAAATTGGTAGCATACTTTTTAAAAAAGATTTTTAAAATGTAAGGCCATTTAAAAAAACAAACAAACCAAGCCAGGCATGGTGGAACATGCCTGCAATCCCAGTGGCTCTGGAGCACGAGGCAGGAGGATTGCAAGTTCAAGGCCAGACTCAGCAATTTATCAAGTTCCTAAGCAACTTAGACTGTGTATCAAAATTAAAAACAAAAAGGTCTGGAAATGTTGCTCTGTGGTAAATTGCCCTGAGTTAAATCCCCAGTACAAAACAATTCAGCTTTTCACAACCAAAATATTAGCATAACCTTAAAATAATTTAGAAAAGGGTGTTCTAAGATATGTTGCAGATTGTTTTATTACCCAAAATTATGTTAATTCATAATTCTAAATTTTTATAAAGTATAAGATTAAAATAATTTTTTAGTATGTGTAAATTCTGTATTTTATTACATAGGTATGTTTCTTCAACACTATCTTTTAAAATGGATTGTTTAAAGAGACAACTTTTATTCTAAATTTTTCATTCATTCAACTTTATTTCTGGTTGAATCCACATGATATGTGCTTTCAATGCATAAAATCATAGGGGATCTTCTACAAATACAACTGAAACAGTTTGGGCAGCAAAAGATTTTTGTAACAATGAAAGGTTATAAATTGTATTTCAATCCCTTTTTCTTTATCTCAAAGTGCAAGATGTAGGGTTCTCATAATCCCTTAGCAATGCTACTCCTGTAAATAATCCTTTGTCACAGAAAGTTTTTAAAATAAGTATATTCTAGTAAGCTGACATAAAACAAATGACACATGTACTGCAATGAATAAACTTACATGAATTGTGATATTGGATTGGTCTATCAGAGTAAATTGCAGATCCAGGAAACTGAGACTTCAAACAATAAAGCTCCATTTTCAGAGTCTCTGGTTGAATGTTTAATTAGATCAACTAATTGTCCTTCCACATCTGGTTGTTCATAAAAGCAAAACCTACAATTCGAGTGTTCAATTCTAGTGTGAAGTGTTTTACTATAGAAATGAAAGCTTGAGCTTAAAAGATAATGGTCATCAGAATTATCCTGAACAAAAAACAACCACCTAGCATATTTGCTAGCTTCCACTCTGTCTTCTACCATGTGATTGGTCCTGAATACCGACCGTGTTTTGAAAGTTTTTCAGCTCTGTAAAGCTTATCAAAACCACATGACCACTATTGCATGGATTCATAAACTCTTGCAACCCTAGCAACAGAGTTAGGATCAAAATTTAAATGATAGTGCATAGTTTCAGACACACAGAGGTCTGTGGTGGTGAATCCATTTAAGTTCCTTTGGATTTGCTTAGTGTGCATTGGAGGTAGCAATGGAAAGAGTAAGGGATGTCATCATGACTCCCTTGGGCTCTGCAATGATACTCCTATGATGCAGTGAACAAGTCATTTATAGACAGACCCACAAAGATTGCTGAGGCAACAATTATGTCCTGATCTATCTGATTCTCATATTTAGAGAAAACATTTCTTCCCACTTTAGAATAAATTTCAGAAACTTCCATGGGAAAACTGTCTAGACAATTGCCATAAATTCCTTTCAAATGAAACAGATTCTAGTCTAAAGGCACAGAAAACTGAAACTAGTCTTAAGGCCTAAGTCCAATAACTACAGGCATGTTCACCAAGGCAAAGATGCAAGTCTCCATTCTGAAATTCTGTACTTTTTATGAATTATTTGCTCTTTTTTTTTAAAAAAAAAAATTAGTTGTAGATAGACACAATACCTTTATTTATTTATTTTTATGTGGTGTTGAGGATAGAACATAGTAAGGCAAGGGCTCCATCACTGAGCCACAACCCCAGCCCCTTAATGAATTATTTTGTTCTTTATACACAGTCTCAGGCTGAAGATTGTGAAAATCTTTTTGAATATCATTCCATGATAGATTTAGATTAGAAGAATAAACCAAGACTTTGCCTCTCGCCTCCACTGGATCTCACAATTTGTTGGTCAAGATACCAAGTGGAGAATGAAAGCATTAAGCTCAGTCAAGATGACAACCTCCCTAAAGCATGGAGACTTTGTGGCAGAGCCTATGGGGGAAAAGCCAGTGAGAAGCCTGCCTGGGATTGGTGAAGTCCCGGGCAAGAAGTTGGAGGAAAGGGGCTTTGATAAAGCGTATGTTGTCCTTGGTCAGTTTCTGGTGCTAAAGAAAGATGAAATTATCTTCCAGGAATGGCTGAAGGACACATGTGGTGCCAATACCAAGTAGTCCCAGGACTGGTTTGGGAGCCTTTGAGAATGGTGTGATGTTCTCTGGGGAGCCCTCAATCCCCAGTCCTATTATCAAGTCTCCAGAGTTTGTATCCAAGTGGAGGCTCTTTGTCCTCTACAAAGGAAAAGATTGCTGTTGTTGCACTTGAGAGTCTTTGAGAATTCTCTCCCCTCACCATTGAATTTTTGCTCTTGCATGCAACACCCTTTCTCTTTCCCCTGCCAGTTCCATCCATGGAAACCTTTAACTAGCTTTTCTGATTGGATTCCTGGCCCCTTCCCCACCTTTACCTCTGGTCTGCTTGATGCCATTTGGCTCCTTTTTTGGCAATAACAGCCAATAAAGTCAGTGGCCTTCCTAATAAAAGAGGAAAGAAACCAAGTATGAATTCAGAGGGAAGGAGACCTTATTAGTCTTTGACAACTTTTTCTTGTGTGTGTGGTGCTGGGATCAATGGGGATCTAACCCGGGGGCTTGTGCATGTGAGGCAAGCACACTACCAACTGAGCTATACCCCCAGCCCATTTTGGCAGCTTTGTTTTTCTCACAAGGCATCCTCATTGTGGAGAGCTCAGGAAGGTGTACTCTTGGTTGCCTTTCTGCTTTTGTTTTGCAAAAAGCCACCATTTAAATTGTATCCATTGTATCCATTAGCCTTTTCTTGTTTGACCTATTTTTATTTTTCCTTCACCTTTTTCATCTTCACTGTTGATGATGCAGCTGGACATATCTTTAACATAGTGGCTACCAAATACGGAATCATTTTTTCCAAATTGATTGGCTAGTGATGGTTATAGTACCAAGAAATCAGTTTTTTTCTTTTATTCAGGTTAAGAGATTTCTGGAAGTTTTATTTTTTTTTCTTGTGAAGGTTTTAGTCTTAAAAAGGTCTTTCTGGAATTCTTACTATCTCTACTTATCTGGAGAGTGTGGGAGGCTGCATCTGTGTATTTTTTCAGCTTCACTTAACCTTTAGGACCATTTTCCAGCTGCTTTGATGGAGAAGCATGTCTCTCCACTTCCTCCTCCAGTACTGGTGCTACTACTGCACAATGTGTTTTAAGCCTGTAAATTTGTGGCAATTTGTTAACACAGCAACAGAAAATAGGCCATTATTGGTGTTATTTAAGTGGCAAAGTTTGGGACTGAGTTGAAGAAGTAGTTGATTTATTTACAGATGGTTTTAAATTTAGAATTCCTGTATGTAAAAGGTAGCAAAGAAAACAAACAAATCAGTGTGAAAGAGAAAACACAAAAGCACCTCCTTCAATGCTCAGGTCAAGTGTTCTTCATCTACTCCTTCCAGTCTGAAGTGACTGTTCCCTCCCCAGATATTTAGAAACCAGTGTATTTAATTAGCATATTTAATTGCCTAAATAATAATCTTCTGTATTGTTCTCCAGTGGCTTTTTTTAATGGGGTGGGTACTAGGGATTGAACCCAGGGGTGCTTAAGCAGCGGGTCACATTCCCAGCCTCTTTTTATTTTTTTGAGACCGCATCTTGCTCAGTTGCCTAGGGCCTTGCTAAATTGCTGAGACTGGCTTTGAACTTGTGATCCTCCTGCTTCAGCCTCCCCAGCTGCTGAGATTACAGGCATGCACCAACACCCCAGCCCCAGTGGCTTTTTGTGTCTATCAAAGTAGGCTTCAAATATCTTGAGGGCTAGGAACTTGTTTTGTTCATTTTATGTTTCTTATAGTGCCTTGAACATAGAGATTCTAGCAAACGTTACTAGAGTGGCTGAAGAAGATATGCTTGTCTGATGAATAAGTACTTCAAACGCAACCTTCCAGGAGTTATTTCTGGAAGGCACCTGGTTGGAGTTCTTCAAGTGTTTTCTTACTGAGTCACCGAGAGCTCCACCACCCGCTTTCCATAGCGGGGGAAAAATGTATCATAACATCCTGTGACTCTTCTCTCAGGATAAGAAACCGTAGACCCTGAGTATCTGTAAGCTAAATAGTCTGCCCGACTGAGAGCATGACTTGGCATTTAACAAGAAGAGTTCTGCCTAATTAACTAGTACCGCCTAATCACTAAGGCATAAACATCTGCCAGAGGAATCTGAGAAGTCTGTTTTAAAATTTGAAAAGCTGGGGCACTTGTGTGTGTGTGTTTACCAGTGAAATCAAATTACAAGACAAGGTTGGTGCCCAATTTCCAGGAGAGTTTGTGTAGTGAATTTTGTCTTTTTCACTGCATGATGTGATTTTTTGATTATCGGATGGAAAAATTAACAACATTATGATTTTTTCTGTGTTCATATCCATAACTAACAGTTTGTCAACTATATCTAAGAAGTTGAGAATTCATTATGTGCCTGAATTGTTATTTTTTGATGTTGTCAAGGGACTAGGTAGTAGAAAGACTATCAAGAAATTCACTGACCTGGTTTCTTAAATTAAGGACATTTTTGAAATCACAAGGTTCTGAGACATCCAACTTGTAGCCTCCAGTGGCTTGTAATAATTTCTTGCTGAAGTGACAAGCTACCTTAAATCTTTTCTGGAACAAAAGATGAGGCATAAATTAATAACAATGTGACAAAATTGAACGCTGGACTTGAAACTGCAGGAGGATCATAAGGGCTGATTTGTTAAAGAAGGGCAATTCATGACAATCTAGATTTAGGCAGAGGACAAATGAATTCATTTAGCATTGTTGAAGTACCTTGAGCTTAATGGAATCACAGACTGACGATTTGCAGGGCTATTTGGTAGAAATGAAGTCACTGAACGTCACGAATTTTGACAGAAGTGGATCATTTTTAACATTTTTATAGTAGCTTTTAGCGTGCAAACTCTCATTATGTCCCCGAGTTATTAAGCATTTGCCCTGTAACTGTGGGCAAAACTCGCCCGAATACCGAAACGATTTTGAAATTTCGGGCTATAGTACCGAAATCTGAGATGTTCGTGTTCATTTGACCCTGCGAAAGTATCAGTCTTTTTCCGCTTAAAGTGCTTAAATCAGTGGGTGGAGTTAGAATTACGGCGTGTTCAAATCCGAATCCTCTTCCCCATCGTTTCAAACAATTCCGTCTTTGAAATACAATCATTTGAATTTACTTGTTCAGAATTGACCCATCAGCTTTGTAACTATCCTTTTCTGTACGAACAAAGTTGGCTAAACTTTTTTAGACGCCTCTGGCATTTCTGTTAACATTGACATTATTGAGTAGGTAACAAACAGACTTATACTTTACCACTTTGGCAAAAATGTATCCGACGTATATGTGAATTTTTTTTACCCCTCCGTTTCACTCTTGAAAAACTTGGGACTCGCCTGCTCCACTGAATGCCCTAACTGGGAGTCGGGTTGACAGGGTTGTCGCATGCGCTCTCGACACAATCATGTTTGTCGCAATGGGCCCTACGCGGAAGGTTACCTAAGACCAGTGACTTTAATGATAGTCATTTGGTTGGTAGCGCTGGTTACCGTGCTACCTCCGCGAGGGTACTTGATTGTAACAGAAAGTAGTTCCGGCCCGTGTTGTTTCGGCCGAGGAGCCGTCGCCGCCATTTCAAGACCGTGAGAGGTAGATGGCCAACTAGAGTTCCCAAGGTTCGAAGCCTGTTAACTGCTGCCGCCTCTTAAACCTTCCAAAACACTGATATAGCTGCTGTCCTCTTCCTACTACCTCTAGAATCATTCTTGCCAGTAGTGGCAGCAGTTGGAGTCAATTACCCCCTTCTTGCTCTCCCTCAAGAAGCTCCAGATGGCGTCTTCCGTGGGCAACGTGGCCGACAGCACAGGTACCAGTGTCCGGTTCTACCGTGGCAGACACCCCTTTGGGGTCTGGCGCCGTCCTGTACCTTTCATCACTCCCTCCCTGCCCTCTAACCATCCCCATTACATCGTGGTCTACTGGCATCTGATCAGGTTTTCCGCTGTCGTCTGTTCCTCAAACATTTTCGCTTGCTTGTTTGCTTGCTTGCTTGCTTGCTTGCTTTATGCTGCTTTCTTTGCTTTTTTTTCCTTTAACCCCGTAAATGTTCTAGTCTTCTACTCTCTTCGGGACGCTTTTAACCACACGTGCGCGCTTAGAATGTCTTGGAATGGACTGCATTGGAATCCTTGCCCTTTCAAAATCCTTCGCAACCGTTTTCTCCTTTAATTCCAGCTCATTGCCCTGTCCTTTCCCTCTCCACCTCCCCCTCAAGCCCTTTCCCCTTAACTACATTTGGTCTTATTCTGCCAATCCAGGGCGGGGGTGCCATTTCGATGTAATCATATTCTCACTTTGCATCACGCAAAGACCATCAAAAGCTCGTCGATGTGCTTCAAGTAACCTCAAGAAGAGGGGACATTGAGCAGCACTTCGCTGGGCATCTTTATGGTGTTCTTTCGGTTGAGCGGTCCTGGTTTAGATTGGAAATTTCCAGGGGTTCCCTGTGCCATCGCCCAATTCCACCCGCTGCCCCCGGCTTGCGTTTCCCACCCAGTCGTCCTTCCCCGCCCGCGGGGAACCACACCCTTTCCTTCGCGAGGTTGCCAACCCTGTGGTCCACTTCCTATCCTTGGGAGGGAAATCACCCCGGTGCGTTGCTTTGCGTTGACCACCCTGCCCGCCCAATTTTCGCTTTGTGTTACTTTCTCGATGTATTCCTCCGCCGCCGCCTGGGTCTTCCATCCCCATTCTTTAGCCCAGTATCTCTTTATTCATAGGGTGTATATTTTTTTTTAAGTTTCCATCTTTGCTTGAAGAGTTTGTAAAGCAACTGGAGTGTAGCTGCACAAGTGCAAGGCGGTTGCCCCTTTAGACAATTCAGTCGCGTGCATTTGGTACTAAAAATAAGAAAACAACCAAATTATAGGAGTGTCCTTCGGCTGCCTTTCCATATTGAGATTATTTGGGGCGGGAGGGTTTCGGGAATTGGACTGTGGTTCTAAGGTTTCCCGTGAGGTAGTGGTGGTGGTTGTTATTGTTGTTTTTGGCGATTTCGCAGTTGAGATGTGTCAAGGGTTTTAGTTACTGTTTTTTTTTGGGGGGGACACTGCAATAAGTAATAGGTGAATCTTTTTTTAGTATCCTATCCATAATTGTACGGAGTGGGATCCATAATTAGCCCGTTCTTCCGTCCCCATTCCCTCACTGTGATTTTCAAAGATTTTAAGATTCTGTACTAGAGTCCTTATTTCCGTTATTTGAGGAAGTGGTCATGCAAGTGTTAAAAGAGAAGATAAGCAGCTTTGAAAGTGACAAAGTAATGTGTTAAATTAAGGAGCTAGGAAGTCCTTGAGACTTTTCTAAAATGTAATTTTCTAGTTTCTGTTAGATATATCCTCCCCCAAGTTTGAACGCAAGTCTTTTCTGCTCCTTTTTTCGTGGTCAGCTGTGCATTCTATTGGGAAATTTACTTTGCTCTCCGGAGTATCCAGAACACTTTCAACTCTGATGATTGGGGAGCTAGGCTCAAATTTGAGCTTGTCACTCTGACCTTGATAAAATTAAGTAATGTCTGTGGTTTCCCATTCCAGCCTTGTAGTGAAAGTGCTGCGGTTGAAATCCCAATAATGTATCACTGTTTAGATAAATATTTACCATTGAGACTTAAGCTGGTCTCCTCCCCCCTTCTGAGTTTTAGCTATATTCTTTATCATTATGTATCTGAATTAATTCACACACAGCAAAGTGTTTTTATTTGTAATTCATTCTGTTGAGTTTTATTCAGTGTCTTATACTGTAGCATTTTCCCGTTTTTTTTTTTTTTTTTTTTTTTAACCACTGCAGTGCTTGGTTATTATATAGGGTTGTTTGCAATGCCTTCTTTTCTCAGTGCCGCAGCTTTTGGAGAATGTTAGTGCTAAGACCACTGTGGGTGGAGTTTAGCTAATTTGGTCTCCTTGTGAGTTTGGGATGGTAGAGGAGCAGTGTATTCTTGCTCTCTCTCTGTGTGTGTGTGTGTGTTTTGAGATAGTCTTGCTAAGTTGCTGAGGCTGTTTTTGACCTTGCCATCTCCTCTTGATTCACCACTCCCAGCTTTTTCTCAGGTCTTTTTCTGGTCTTTTTTCCCCCTTTAATTAATTAATTTATATATTTTTAATGTGGTGCTGAGGGTTGAACCCAGTGCCTCACACGTACTAGGCAAACACTCTACCACTGAGCCATAACCCCAGCCCTCAGGTCTTTATTTAAAATGTTTGATGGCCCCTTTAAATATTTTGGCTCTTGACAAATGAATTCATCTTGTTTATCATCTGTTTTAAAAATAATGCCTTGCCTTTTTAGTTTTTTTCCCTTTAGCTTTGTCTCTAGTAGTGCCCTCCTTAAAAAAATTAAATTGTGATAAACATATCAATATAATAAGTTTAAAACACATTTTGTGTCCCCATCCACATTAAGAGATGCTTGAGATAGATTGTTAATATTACCCCATCCCATAGAAATCCAACCTGAAACATGGGACAAAGTATTAAGTTTCTTGGTAGGTTATTATGACATTATTAAATCTTTGTGACTTTTGCAGATTGTAAATTTAATATTTTGTTTCAGTATGTTAACTAAGATATAAGGAACAATGTTTAGTGAATCTTCAGATGCTACATAGAATTTAGAATTTAGAAGTATAAAATATTTCAAGTGTAATCTCATTTGGAAGTAAGTATTCCCATGTGGTTTGGAAAAGAAAGAATTAATGGATGAATTCTAAAGATACCAATTCTGCACCTGATGTTAACTAGGGGTTATAAATAACATGCAGAACACTCTAGTGCTTTACATAGTTTCAAGCATTTTCATCTTTAAGTTTAATATACCATATTTTTACATTTTTTTGTTTGCATTTCTAACTTTTTGTTTTCCCCCCTCCTTCCCTCAAATGTTTTGATGATTCTCCAGAACCAACGAAACGTATGCTTTCCTTCCAAGGGTTAGCTGAGTTGGCACATCGAGAATATCAGGCAGGAGATTTTGAGGCAGCTGAAAGACACTGCATGCAGCTCTGGAGACAAGAGCCAGACAATACTGGTGTGCTTTTATTACTTTCATCTATACACTTCCAGTGTCGAAGGCTGGACAGGTAGGAGATATGGGGGGTACCTACCTCTGGGTGCTGAGCTTAAAAAATGATACTTAAGTATTTGAACTTGAATTTTTTTCTGTACTGGGTTTCAGTTACGCCAGCAACACTCATCTGTTCTTTTGCCCACTTTTTAAATGCTTGGCTGCCAGTTTTTCTCCCTTCTTTTGTGTGGTGGTAGTTATATTATCAATATGACTAAGGACTTTTTCTATATTTTTCCACCTGGATCTGCTGCTTTATTAACTGTCTTCAGGTAACAAATTATTCTTAGTGTACATCTGAGCATCCAGTCTTAAGTTTACGAGACCTGTCAGCTTAAGGAACTGAAATGCACAGAAATGATAATGTGTATGCTGTGCATATGTAGTTCATGTTGGAAATGCCATCATTGTTAAGAAGTGTTGCTTTTAGCTAATCAGTTGAATTAATCAAAAGGGAAGAATTTTCTCTTGTCCTTTTAATAAGTTGTCATTCTGGTATATTTAAACATTTAAAGAGGTGCATCATTAAATCTTACAAATAGGAAATGAGACTCACACACATTCTCAATATTAATGATCATGATTTACAGTGTAGCAGTTTGGTAGTAAGACTCTAAGAAGAATTTAATAAGGGGCTGGGGTTGTGGCTCAGTGGTAGAGTGCTCACCTAGCATGGGTGAGGCACTGGATTCGATCCTCAGCACCACATAAAAATAAATGAATAAAAATAAAGGCATTATGTCCACTGACCACTAAAAAAAAAAATTAAAAAAAAGAATTGAATAAGAAAAGGCTTCTAATTTGAAATCTGGAATGTCTTCATTTTTGTAAAACCGATTTCTAACATTTTTTTGCTCTGCGCCAGTTAAAAGATAATGTAATGTTACATAATTAGCAATAGCACAGGATCTTCCGAAACTGTTACAGTTGCATATGGGCCGTGCCTTCTTTTCTGTAATATGTATACCCATGCATCAACACTTTCACCTTTTCCAGATCTGCTCACTTTAGCACCCTGGCAATTAAACAGAACCCCCTTCTGGCAGAAGCCTATTCGAATTTGGGGAATGTGTACAAGGAAAGAGGGCAATTGCAGGAAGCAATTGAACATTATCGACATGCATTGCGTCTCAAGCCTGATTTCATCGATGGTTATATTAACCTAGCAGCTGCATTGGTAGCAGCAGGTGATATGGAAGGAGCAGTACAAGCTTATGTCTCTGCTCTTCAGTACAATCCTGTAAGTAAAGTTTTAATAATTACTTTCCCTTCACAGAAAGTCCCCCAGAAACACCATAATTGATACTGAAATTGTTTTGCCTGTAATAAAAGTCAAGGGTTTAGAAATGTTTATGTACTTAAAATGGTGAAAATGCTTAGACCTGGTCTGTGTTAAGAAATTTGTCTTATATACCAAATTATGTTAAAAAGCATAAAAATTATCCTTACAAGAAACTGTCAGTTTTTTATAACATCCCTAAAGTACAAGACATATGACATTATTTCTTTAAGCTGTTTTGATTAACTTG